AACACCTACCCAAAATAATAAACGGCCCTTAACAAAAAACCGCGCCGGGCCCAAGGTGCACCGGGCCCACGCGGGAAAGGTCTCAGCGGGACGCGTCACGCGAGACCCGCGTTTTGCTTTAGAGTATTAGGGATATTGGTCAAAGTTGAAGATTAGCTCAATTGGTTTGTGCTCCAGTCCTGCGTAGGACACCAGTGCCAGGATGTCGGTCTCCATGATTGTTCTCATTAGACTTTTAGAGGAGGAAATACTACCAAAATAGTCAATTCAGGAGAAGGTTGTGTTGCCCATGGTTCTTTTTCACTAGAGAAAAGGCTTTCTTGTTAGGGTGTAAGGTCTGGAATGGGTCCACCAGACTGTGGTCCAGCATGAGTTTAAGCACAGGTGCTGCTTCTTGGGTAGCTTGGGAGGCTGCTGCCTGAGAGATCCTGTTATTTGGGTAATGAGTCGCGTTCCAGTCCCCCGCTAGAATGCATGCTGTGAGTGGTGGTACGAGTTGTCCCACAGTTTGTATAAACTATACCCTCTCTGTTGGGTTCTTGGGTGCATAAGTGTTAATAATTCTGAATTCTTCTTCTTTCTACTTCATATCCATTGTCCACCGCCTTTCTGTTTCGCTGTACGCGTCCGTTCCTTGTACTGATCCTGCCGTGTACAGTCGTGCGGATTTGGGGAATGGTTCTCTTTTCTTTTCGTTCCTTTTCTCTTTTTCTTGGGGGGTCAAGGCTGTGGGGCTGGGGGCAAGGACAATTTCTCCAGAAGGCTCTGCCTGACAGTGCTATGTCATGATTGGTTACAAACGTTACAAAAAGTTGAATTGCCTGGTTGCCCTCAATCCTATCCCTTAAGCATCATTGGCCGCAGGGGGGGGGGGTCCATGACGCGCTGCCTTAATTTCATTTCCCTAGTTGATTGTTTTGTCTTGAATTTAATGACGGATACTGAGGTGGCCCGCATGCGAAAGTTGTTTGTATTATGATTCTAGGCAACATTTTTTTCACCTAAATTTTGTGATTCACAAAAAAAGAAAAGAAAAAAAGAATTCCGTGCTGGGGCTGCTCAGGACCTGCACGAGGTACAAGACTGGCCTGATGGAGTAGTCTGTGCTGCAACGCATAACAATCAAGTAGGAGTACGGAGGGGTGTGCTGACCTCTCAAAACTTGCAGGATTCTTGCAGTTATTCGAACCGGCAACAAAAATTGACTGTCATTAGTTCTTTCCTGTACAGGGAGAAGAAGTATACCACCAGGAAGGGTGCAGAGGTTGTCTTCCTGTTGACACTGATGATGGAGATGCGTCTTGAGAGCCTTTCCTGAGTCCTATTTCGACACAGCAGCGACGACCGTCTCAGCTAAATTTGGCTGAGACGGATCTGCGATGAGTGGGTTGGTTGTCTGACAAAGTGGGAGGATTGCGGGAGAGGGAGGAGACGTTGCGAGAATTTGAAGGGAGGAGTCGTTGCTAAGAGGATAAGACAGTGACGTTCTTTGATTTCTTTTTTTTTTTTTTTCATTTTTCGTTTCTTTGCGTTTTTGTTTCATTCTCTTGGATATTGCTTTCGGGGATCAAGTACTGATAGTTGTCTTTGAGATCGTTTGCTCAACTTTGCTACACTAATAATTCTGGTCTGCTCTGCCCATGGATCTGGGGTACCTTTGCCTATTCTTGTCTGAAGTCTGGAAGTAGGCCGTACTGTCTTCTGTCTTCCTGCGGAGTTGTCTTTAGATCGTGCTAATGACTGCGCTAATTGTCTATGGATCGGAGGTGGGTACATTTGCCCATCCGTGTCTGAAGTCTGGAAATAGGCCGTAATGTTTTCTGTCTCCTTGCGTGCGGATTGCCTATTCTTGTCTGAAGTCTGGAAGTAGATTGATTCTGGCTCTCTTGGCTTCTAGCACTTGCTATTGTGTCTCTCTGATTGTTGAACGCCGGGGACTAGACCATTTCTGGGTACCTTTTTGTTTGAAAGTAGGTGGTGATTGTGGAAGTGATGTAGGACTAGATGAATTTCTTTGATCTGTATGATAGGGTACTTGGTCCTCGCTGCTATCGGACTTGTCTTCGGACGTGTTTGGGTCTGTGCGGGGGGTTGTTAAGAGTCTTAAGACTACTTTTTTTTTTTTTTTTTTTTTTTTGAAAGCAGGAATGTAGACAGTGTTTAGCTTCCTCAACTCACGGCGAATTCAGACCCCTGACGAGTGCCGGTTGGCGACCGGTCGAAACGTGCATAGGGTCGCGCCTTTCAAAACTGGCTGGAGTAAAGTAGGAGGTAATTGTTAGACTATTTCTGGGAATTGCCGATCAGTAATTGCTTGTTGTCGGTTTCCTTGGTGGATTGTATGTTTATGGACTAAATTTTGATCATCCTCCAGGGTCGCGTTCGGGAGAAACCACTGTGCACTTCCTTCTCTCTCCTGTCTGATTACCTCCTTCTACTTGGTCTGTTCTTTGCGGTTCTTGTTGATCTCCTTGTGAGTTGTTGTTGTTCATAGACTTGCTTACTGAGTATGTATGCCATTGATGCTCGTGTGATTAATATTACCAGACCTGGCCTGTCCATTTTCCCCGGGCAGCCCGAGGCAGCTGGGCTAGCCAGGCCAGGTAACCTACGGGCAGGCCAGAACCTTAAAAGGGGCATGAACCTCACTGCTTTGTATGTTGTGTGACGATCTTGCAGAAGGGTGGACTGAACATGAGGACCCGGAAGGCAACCAGTTCTATTACAATGCTGCGACAGGGGTAAGCACATACGAACATCCCATGGACGAGTATTACCGAAGATTATACAAGCAATTGAAGGAACAAAAGCTGGCAGGAAAACCCTACCCGACGCCGAGTGGGAGTAAGGCGGGAACACCCCAAAGTTCCAAGACACCACGCTCGAAGACGCCACGTTCAAAGACCCCCATCTCTCCAGAGTGACACTGACAGGCCCACTCCTTCCATGGCGAAGTTGTTTATGACGAGCTCAGAGCCAAACTCTGGTTGAGCAGGCATAGCAGCGCGAGACCACGGACATGGGTCTGCATAATGTCCTGCAGAGGTAAGAGGCGGTGGAGGGAGGGGCTTGTGTCTCCCTACTTTTATCGTGGGAGCTGTTACTTCTACTTGGATGATTCTCTGGCGCAAGAGCGGGGTATTGTTTTGAGATTCAAGCAATCGTGAAGCAGCGATTTGGTAATACTTGGGAGGTGGGAACGTTTCCAGTTCCACGGGATTTGGTAGTAAACTGCCACAGTCAGAGACAAGGAAGGGCCGGCTTCCCCGAGATATGAGCTAAGTAAGTTCAGCGAACTTAGCATGAACCTGGTCTTCATTATGCATAAATCACTGAGGCTTGTGGCAACGGATCGCACGACCGTTCAGGTCATGCTGATACGGTTGTGCTATTTATAGCACAAGATAACTGCAACTGTGGCCCAACCCTCACTATGAGACTGACTTAGCAAGAACCAGGCCCATCCGGCAGACTAGGTTCATTCCGAGTCAGCGCAGAATACCAGGAAGTGCAGCCGCAACCACTTGCATGCAGGTCTTTTTGCTTCACCCATGTTTGAGGGCGGTCCTTCAACGGGCCGTGTGTGTGTGTGTGTGTGTGTGTGTGTGTGTGTGTGTGTGTGTGTGTGTGTGAGAGAGAGAGAGAGAGAGAGAGAGAGAGAGAGAGAGA